GGCTATTCTGTCTCGCGTAACAGAATATTATTCTGTTACCCAACTTGAACTGACGAAGTTTACAAGTTGGACTGACGTGGTTTGCTACTTGAAGTGATCTTCCCGCGTCTTCGACGGACGGAAACATGGGATTCAACAGGGGGCTTCCGGGGGTTCTCCGGCGCGGTGCTGCCAGCCATTCGTTGCCAGAGTAGACATGTACGGGGCTTCGCACGTGCGCGCGCTCACCTGGTCGTGTTTTTCGATCTCAAGTCACCGGAGGTGACGGCGTGGGTATTTGGCGGCAAAGGTGTTGTAGGCGTTGGTGTTTACCGTGGTGTTCATAGTCGTTGATTTTACGTCCGTTTTGTTATTTTATGTGTTATTGGGATGTGGGAATGATCAGTGTGTTAGAGTTTTTGGAGATTCTTTCACTGTAATTTCTGATTAGAAGTTTTGGTGTTCTTGGTCGTTAGCCATGTCCGCCATGCAAATGTGTTCTTCTTTTTATGATGTTTTATTTTCGAATTGGCGTTGCAGGGAGAGAGATGAGGATTGTATGAATATATTTGTGTTGTCAATTTTGCTTCTCGAGTTGTTTCTACCCCGGTTTCCCATGTGATTTTATCGTTGGCGGAGGTGGTGTATGGTGGCTGACTGTAGCCTATGATTTCTTGTAATCTGGTCAAAATGTGTAATTAAGTTGTGTGTTTTTCAATGTTGTTTGAATGACTGCCGTATGTGTAGTTGGACTGCTCCATGTCATAGTTGTATTACTGTGTGTTCACATCAGAGTAAGTATTTTCTACTAGCTGCCTACCCGAACATCTGCACTTTGAGTATAAAGCCCGAGCCCTCTGTCACTTTCATTCCACCAGCTGCCACCAAAGAAAAGCTAGATGGATCCTGAGCTGGGAGAGGTCATAGAGGAGGAGGGGGATGTCTTCGATGTGAGGGCTGCAGTAGCATAGCAGAGGAGGAGGAGGAGGCACAAGTGCAGGCAGAGGGCACGACGTGCTGCCGAGGAGGAAGTGGAGGCAAAGTTCAACGGATGCCTTGCATGCAAGGTGATGGATACTTGCAACTCCAATGAACTGAAGCTACTTTTCCTAGAGGGCAGGGGAAGGAACCATATTCAGATCATCATTTGGGCTAGGGTGAGAGAAGCCACGGCTCCACATCCATCCACCAGGGCCAAATGGCGTCGTTTCTTTGATCGTTATGACCGAAGTACTGAATTTTTATGTTTTTAAGTTTGTGTTGTGAGGGAGCAGATGGTTGAATGACTAAATGAATTCAACTGTCTACCTCTGAATGAGTTCTTTTATCTACATATGTTTGTTTTGTGCAGTTTGAACTGCTGCCGTATGTGCTCTCCAACAATTATTTTTGAACTGCTTCTTTATCTGAAGTTGAACTGATTTGCGGTCAATGTTGTGTGACTTGTATATTAACTATTTTCTACCAACTGGCTGCCTACCTACCTATTTATTATTTTTATAATCTCCGAGTCTTCTTGGTTATAAATTCTATCCATCTATGTGTGGTGTGTGGCTCAGTCTCCCCCTCCTTTTTCTTCCTTCTTCTAGAATCAGATCTAGGTTCCTCCCTCTTCTCTCTGTTGTTTTCTTCCCTTTTCTTGTGTTTCCCATGGAGGATTGTTCATGCAGATATCTCGCAAAGATGGCGCGCATAGCTGACGGCTGTGTGTACGAATCTGGTTTGGAGCTCACCGAGAGTCAGTGTCGTGGGCAACTTTCATGTCTGTTGTACATCAACCATGGGTTCCGTGCACCCTATGTTTGTCGCCTGACGGTTGGGGACTTGGAGGAATCATGGGTATGTGTTTCTATTCTTTTTGTTTTCTTCTTTTTGTAGGTCTCATTTTGAATCCCATGGACTGAATCTGTAGTTTAGTTTTATCAATAGTTTGCCTATAATTTTTATTTGGTTTTGTTAGAAGTTAACAGTAGGGATTTGTGTGTGTATTCATTCATTACTTAATAGTATTTATCCATTTTTGTATAATCCTTGTTCTTTTTTGTCAGATGTTTTACTGTAGGGGTATTGATATGTATATTTCTTCAGTTTAGTCAGGTCATATGACTAGTTAGTTTGGTGTTTTTGTTTTGGTTCAGATATTTCTTTTCACTTTGTTATGCAGCAGTTCCTAGATCTGTGTAAATATTCAGTTATGTTAGGTGTTCACTTTATTTTCAACTCCCATGCCCATTTGTAGAAAATATCACCCAGAATCAGGATTGTCCCTCCTAGTTCCGGGATACTGAAGATGGAGACTTCAGACAAAACGGGTATCAGTTGATGGAAGTTGCCTACCACATAGAGTTTGATGGTTGCATCAACCTAACTACTGGGTGGAAGGAGTTTGTGGCAGAGTCTAGAATTGAGGATGGAGATGTGGTTATGGTTATGTTCTCCAGGGAAGAAGACTCTTTGACATTCAGAATTCATGTGTTGTAGGTTTAAATGTGGCAAATGATGCTGGTTGTGAGATTTGTGTGTGTTTGATTATGTTGCAGTATTTTTCTTTAAAACAATGCATGTGAGATGGTTGAATTATATGTTATTACCATATGGTTTGGAACAATTTGTTCGTATGTTATTGTATGCGCTATTTTTTATTTATGTAATGCTTCCTATTTTTTGCTCAAGCACAACTATTTTTTTTATATCTGAATTGGAACAATTATAGTTGAACTGATGGGAATCCTTTGCTTTTACTGGGATATTTTCATGTACATAGCTCGGACATGAAAAATATACGCTGATGATGGTTGTAGGACCCCTTGGGTTTGAGTTTGTTGAACTTACATACTATTAATGATAGTACTGAACTATTTTGGATGTCAATGGCCAACCGCATTCGTTTGTTGTAGAGCATTTTTCCTTACTATTTGACAGGAATTTTAGAGCACAATTTTTTAGTTGAATAGTGATAGTTCTAGTATTTTTTAAAATAAAAAGAATTTAGTCTTTGCTGCATAGTATTAATTTTACTTGAACCTTATGAATTTTAGTAGTTGAACTTTTTAAAAACTTGTTTCTGAAATTTTTATTACAATCTTCTACGTTTAATTTTCCAATTTTTTTATTTTTTTAGTTCTTACAATTAACATGTGTTTGAACTTTTCTGCATTCTTTATTTTGAACTGATTTCTTATGAGGTTTTTCTAAAATTATCTGCATTTGTTTCTTTTATTTGGTCGTGTGTGATCGGCTGGAATTTTGTAATGGGGCGAATTGTTGTATTGGGCCATCCCCCCGGAGCCATTGTTTTTGGCCCAAATAGCTCGTACACACGCTGTGTAGTGGGGCGTGCGCATGCGCTATACGTTTTAGTCCCACCTCGCTAGTCGAGGGGGCTCTCGACCTGTTTATAAGCGTTGCCGTGGCTTACTGGTCGAACTCCTCTGAATACTTACCTGAGCGCTTAAACACGGCGCTCGCTCTCTGCCATGACCTGTGGGCCTTGGTGGATTGGCCTTCGCAGTCTGGTTTACAATGGATTCGCCGGTGGTTTCGCAGTTGGCTTGGGTCCTAGTACCCACCTGCGTTGGGCTGGCCTGTCCCTTGGGCGGTCAATATTTTTGATTCTTAGCATTTTGTCCTTCTAGTTTTTATGATTTTTTTCCTAATATAAGCATTTTTTCATAGTAGTACCGAATGTTCTCATCTGCTTGAACCGACGTATTTTTTATAGTGTGTTTCCCTCGCTTTCTCTTTGTTCTCATTTTCTTTCAGCATTTTTTTATTCTTTTATGAACATTTGGATAAGATATATAGGACCGCATCGAGTGGCATAGTCGTACTGACACATTTTTTGTATGGACTGAAGAACATTTATCTTTTTAGGGTGTGTGGTTGCGTGGGGGTGGGGAAACAGAATAACTGCACTATGCCTGTCAAACGAGCACACTGCCGCGTTAGCGCGAGGCTGAGCCGGGGGGGAGGGGGACCCCCTCCCCCATCCCGGCGAGGCCGAGTTAGGAACGAGCCATAGCAGGCACGACACGTCGTTGCATGCGGAGTCGAGTCCGTAACATGACCTTCCCTATTATCTATCTTTTTAGGGTGTGTGTGTGCATGGGAGGTAAACAAAATAATCGCACTGCGCCTGT